CCGCCAGCCCGCTGCGGGGTCTGAGCGGCGCTGCCCGGCCGGGGCTCGCTTGCTCCTAAAGGGGAAAAAAATGCCCTGAAAGGAGAGGCCATGGTGCTGGGTGCTGTTAGTGTGTGCTGTCTGGGAACTCGGGTCTTGCGTGGTGCAAAATCACCACTGCAGTATCATTCCGTGGAGCAGTGCTGTATAAACCAGTACCGCTGCAAGAGCCAGGTATGATTGCATGGAGCCGTGTCTCACGCCGTTTCGATCCTCAGTGGTTTGAAGGTGACCGGTGTGTGCTTGATTATGGGTACAACCTCAGCAGCCTCACCGTGGTTACAGGGTAAAGTTTGAAGAAGAAGAAGATAAGAGATTCTGCTGAAGAGAAGGCTGTGGGGATTAAAGGAACGTGAGCCTTTATCACCACTTACAAACCCCAGCCCTCCGCCAGTCATTGCCTCCAAACTTATTTCTCTTGGTTGTGGTCTCTTCTCAGTTCAGTGTAACTTTTGCATTGTGTGATACAGAGAACATATGCTGTTACATTTGGAGAAATTGAAGGTCAGAGAACTATATGCTTTAGGTCCATAAATATTATTTAACTGCTCTGGAGTACGAAGATAAAATCTAAATCTTTTTCAGAATGTTATACTGACTTCTTCAGAGAAGACTTTGATGTGAAAGCGTACACTTCCCAGTCTATCCATCAGGCTGTGATAGCTGAGCAGCTAGCAAAACTTGCCCAAGGTATTAGTCAGTTGGATAAAGAGCTTCATTTACAAGTAAGTTTAAAGCATACCTGTTTTTCTGGGGTGGTTGATATAAACTAATCAAAAGCGTAGTAATCTTATGATCTTGTTGCTTCTGAAATTGCCCAGTGTACTCTGCAAGCAGTAACTGAAGTCACAACTTGCAGCAAAACTAGTAGTGAATCTGATACTTGGTCAGGCCCACTCTCAGTACCCCTACCAAGAAGCCATATACTGATCTGTTTTCAGTTTCTGCAGCCAAACTCTGTATACGTGGAGGTTCCACTCTTCCTTGTAAGAATGTTCCCTCTTTCCAAGTGATCATGTCAGCTATCAGAAATGCTTATCTGTATTTTGGGATGACAATTGTGAGAAGACAGAGAGTGATTTAACTTGCACCCTCTCATCCTGTGCTGGAGAGCAGCCTAGCCTCTAAGGCTTAACTTGAGCTGGGCAAATATAACCTGTGGTACACCTCCATGCTTTCAGAAAGGCTTTTGAGTTTGGATAGTAGAAGGTTTTTTGGTAAGATCTGTGCAGACACCACTGGACCTTGCAATGAGAACACATGCTAAGTTTGTGTGTAGTTTCAAAACCCGCTTCCTCTGTCCTGCTGACCCAGTTGATAAATTATTTGGGAACTGGTTTCTAAATGTCATAAAGAAAATATTAAATATGTGAATATACACTATTACATTTACAGTTATTATATATGAAGGTGTGTTGAAATGTGATTGCTGTGCTGGCTTTAATTAAGATCACAGCTACGCTGCTGTTACTGACCCTCCTCTTGTTCAGAGCTTGCCACTTTTGTGAATTAAAACGTGTTCTGAAAACTGTTTCATCTTAAAAGTGTGGCTGCTTTTCCTGTGTCTGCCCAATGTGGGGATGATAATGATATATTACTCTATTCTATTTTTTTTAAGGTTGTTGCAAGACATGAAGACCTGTTGGCCCAAGCAACTGGAATTGAATCGCTGGAAGGTAAATACTGTGATATTATGCTTGCTGCTACTTACAGTAGAGGAAGCACTTTTAATATCTGTGCAGGGAACATCACTCACTGCCAACTTTGGCCCCTAACATTAAGGCAACGAATCTTACATCTGAGGAGTAACATGTAGCAGCTTTTTTTTGATGTCAGTAGATGGAGCTCCAGGGAGAAGATTTGGCTGATACTTCTGTTGAGTAACTAATTCGTAGGAAAAAATATTTTTATAATGAGTTCTGAGCAACTTTAGCAATCAGGTCTTTTTGACCTTTTATTAAATTTCTCTAAATAAGGCTAATTTTGTTGCAACATTAGCTGATATTTGGTGCCACAAGTACCAAGTTTGTGCACATTGCGTATGCATGTGCTGCATAGTTTGCAAACCTTAACCAAAGAGGCTTTAACACCTAATCTTAACTGCATTGAGCTATTTTTTCCTAGTAGGAGGCTACTAAGTTAAATACATACCTTTGTGTTATTCTACTCCTTGGGATCCAGATTTTAACATAAAATGCTGAATTTCAAACGCCTTAATTAGGAACCATTATATCTGTATAGAAGAATAGTTGCAGTATGTTGTTTTTGTGCCAGGAGCTCAGTAGACCTGCCTTTCTGCTCTTTGTCATTTGCTGGGAACTTCATATGGTTTCTGTTTTTTTTGCGCAGAAAGATACTTACCTCTATAACATGATAATTTGCATATACTATGGGAACCAAACATATCTCCTTTTCCCCTTTCATTTTTTAACTTGATAAGTAATTTATCTTTGTTCCTTCTTCTGCTTCCAGGTTTTGGTGTAACCAGAGAGTTTCTGATTACTGACAGTTATAGTATCTCCTTAGTCTTTGTAACTTGTTGGATACAGTATTCAATTGTTAGCATTTGTGTATAGCTATAAAAATAAAGATATGCCTATTTAATCTAGCAATGGTAGCTCCCAAATAGCTATTCCAATTTTTTAAACAGTTGGAAAATTAAACATAGGAAGATGGGCATCCATGTTCATCCTCCAAATAAGTAGTCAATCTTGTGACTGATAAATACCTCCCAGTTACGATCTTCAGCAATTTGTGTTCAGTAGAATTGTGTTTTCTGAAATCACGGTTGTTTCTGTAGGCATTCCTTCCTAAAATTGCTCTGAGGAAAGAATGAAGTACTTCAAAACAACTGTTCAGTTATAAAATATTTCTGTAAGGCAGGAGTGGTAAATAATGCGTGTTTTACAGCTGATAACCCAAAGTAAAAGAAAAATCTAATTCACCTCAAATTTGTTGAAATTTGAATTTGAATTGAATTTGGATGTGTGAAAGTGAATCTCATTAAACTTTTCGAATTGATATACCCATCTTCTAGAGTCCTGTCTTTTTTAGGTCTGTGCATTTTTTTAATGGTACACTGATCTGGTATACATACTCTTTTCTGTCTGTATCAGATATCTTGAGCTACTTGTTAGTTTAAGATAGGCTAGACAGTATCATCCCATGTCTTGTGCAGCAGATGGAAAGGGTAGATTGGCTCTTCACCCACCCTAATTCTGCCTTCTGGCAAGAGTACTGGTGTATGCTTTGTAGCAATGTCACAGTCACAGATGCAGCAAGGTCATGCTACTTGCCCCACGCTCTTTTTTTCCCTTATTGCAATGTAGAGTAGAAAATTCATCCTGTTTTGCCAACTTTTCACTGTATCTCATATCTTCATCCTATGATGTATGTGAATTGCATGCCTGCCGTTACATGTATAAATGTCAGAGAATGCCTGAGTCTGTCACTAAGCCAAGTTAATAATTCTGAAATAAGGAGAAGATGGGAGTTGGCATATTTATACAAAATATGTGAGATACAGTCCCAGTACAGGACAAGCTGAATAAAATTATTATCAGTGGTTATGTTTATCTTCCATCCTACTGTATAATATTGCAGTTTTATCCAATTTCATGATGACATGCTTGTAAATATGGCTTTACAAAAATGTAGTATGTTGGAGAATGCTAGCAATAACTGGAACAAAAATAATTTCATAGGCCTGGGTTTGTGTAACTTAATTAAATTCTCAGCAGGCTGGTTCCACATTGCAAAAATGACTGCTACCCTTGACTACTTTGCGATTTAACAAGAACAAGCATGCTTGTGGGCTTTCTTTGTGCTGCTTTGCCAAACTAATCTGGAACAAACATGATTAGCGTCGTTTGCTCTGCTTGTAATCTAAACTAGATGACCTCACAATGACATTGATACCTTACTTTTTGCTGAAGATGCTTATGCACAGTAAGACAACCTTAAAACAGAATTGGTTTTCTTCTCAGTGCTCTTTATTGGTTCCTCTGAACTGTCTAGTCACTATGTTAAATAGTGTTACATAGGTTGTGCCATTTTTGCGTATCATGTTCAGGTGTTTGTGCGAGGTTACATGCCTTTGAACAGAAGTCCTAATTGTCATTCTCTTAGAAAGCAACATGCTCTAAATATTATTTGAAACTTAACATATGATGAACTTCAGAGTGATATTTCTTATGTAGGTTTGTGTTCTCTACCAATAAATTTTCCATAACATTCAGTAAGTGATCTAATACCTGCTCAATTTATTTCTAAATAAGTCTTTTTTTAATGCTAGTCTGCAGTAGTTACTATGATTTGAAGAATGGTTCTTTCTATGATTGACAGGTGTTCCATGTGAAAAATCTGCTTTATTTTGCAGGTGTCCTCCAAATGATGCAGACTAGAATTGGTGCTCTACAAAGTACTGTTGACAGGTATGCCATTCATTATGGATTAGAAAGCATAAATTCTTAATTGTTCTCTCATGTTACCTACTTATACTGCTATAAATGAATTTCTCGTCTTACTTTTAGAATTAGAGTCAAAATTGTCGACCCCTACAACAAAATAGTGTCTCGCACAGCTCAGCTAGCAAAACTTCAGGTAAATTGTATTAAAAAAGATCTTTTTTAATGTATATTGTTTCCCAATTGTCAGACATGGGTGGGATTTTCATACTCCTGTATTTCATTGTCAGTATTTCTCAGTGAAAATCAGTATTTGTGTGTGTCTTCATGAGCTACTGAAAAGTGCTCTGTATTGCAAAGTAGGAAACTGACCTTTACACTGGCTGAGTTTCTGTAGGGATGGAGGGAAGAGGGAAGGGTTATCTGAGTGCAGATTAGTTAAATTCTCATTACTGTTTATGTAATTCTGGTATTTAATGTTATGATGCTATTGTGTAGATAATGCTTTTCTCCTCTAAGTTAATGCATGCTTAACTGCAGTTTAGTAAAGAGTTTGGGAATTAATTCTTTCAAAGTAGTCAGGATGCAACTTGTGGAGCCAGGGGTGGTTCTGGAGTTTTATAAGCCCAGGTGCATAGTTGTCCCTGTCTTTTGAATATAAGTGGAGTCTACAGGAGAATGTAGATCTCTGTTAGAGGATGGCAGCTGGAGAGAGCTTATCACAACAATGGTGAGATAAATGTCAAACACTTCCATTGTTAATTTTATAATAGTTGAAAACTGTTCTGTATATCTTCGGTAGTATAGCTGCATTCTACTCAGTTTATGGTTTGAAAAGCAACACAACTCAAAATCCACAAGCGTTTAATGCGTTGTTGTTTGAACTGTTTGTCTTCATGAGTTTACCTTAGCTTTGCAGACCTAGGAACTTACCTTTTAGTAGCTGAAATTTGACCTGTGAATATACTTCAAGTAGCAGTTAAATTTTTTTTTGTTCAACCAGTTTGTCCAGCTGCTTCTCCTGTTCTTTTCAACTCCAGCTGTTACTGTTTATGCCACTGGGTAAAACTTCACTGACTTCATGTGGCAGGTTAGGTGAAGATTTTTTTTTTTGTTCTCTGATGTATGTTGCAGCTGTGGAAAGGGTTGTGGGAACTTGGTGCTAAAGGTTAAGATCGTTTCTGCCCTGACGCTACACAAAGGCAAGCTGCAGAAGGACGTCTGGGAAGAATGACTCCCTGAACTTAGGAAATGTTTCTTGGGTGCTCTTTGCTTCCTCTGTGCTGTAGCAGGGTTACGTGGGTTTTCCTGTGGTGTGAAAGCAGCATCCATCCAGGATCAGCATTACTCAGCCTGTGCCAGGGAGTTTGTAGCATCTGGCTTTTCTTGGCTGTAAGTCAGAAAAAAGAGGTGCAGGTTAAGGGGAGCCTTCCAAATCTGCTTATTTACCTCAATGTAGAAAGAGGAATGATGACTCCAGTTTCTCTGCTGGTGAGAATCCATCCTTGGCATGAAAGCTGCTGTCCCTTCTTCTGTTGGCAGATGAGAGCAAGTGCTTTATGTTGTACTACCTTTCGGGGAGGAGTTGAGGGTCAGGACACCTGAATTATGAAATGAAACTGGACTTACGGAGATTTGAATCAATAGACCTTTGAAATCTCCACCCTCCTGCCTCCCTAAGATGCACTGCTGTGGTGTCTCTTTACCTGGCTGGCTTGTTTGTTCAGGAAGGAAGGGCGACAGCACAGCAAACAATTCACTTCCTGGCAGTGGTAGGATTTATGACATGAAATTGCTTCCGAATGCAAGACTTGTGGCACAGGACACTGTCAAGCTTCCTAATTTTATCAGTTGATGTACAGTTGGTAGAATAAGTAGGAAAAGGTAGATGACTGATAGAAGAGGTTGCCTTCTGTCAAAATCTGTAGGGTTGGCAGGTATGTTTTGCTGAACTGTGTGGTGTTTAAGGGCCTCTTGTACTCCTGATGGTATTATTTTAGTGCTTCTCCATTGATTGCTGTGGGACTGCTCACAAACTGAAGGAATATTTGGCTTGCATAAAGCTGGATTTTGCCATCCTTAATTGTTTTTAATATAGTCTGGCTTTTTTATAAACTTTCTCAATGCAAATTCATTGTCCAACTTCAAATCTAGTGCTGAATTCTAAATCTCTGCTGTGTGCTTGTGTATATTTTGTCTTGCTCTGCTCTTAGAGCTTCATGGCATCCCAAGGGAGCAGCAGACTCACAAAGCTTAGTTCCTGCTTTAAATCATACTGTCCTCTTCTGAGTCTTTCCATAGTAGATCACAAGCTAAATGGGAGTAGTTAGCAGCTGAAATGTGTAGATGGTTTGCCCTTCAGAGGGTTATTTTCTGTGCAGCTCTGTTTAACCAAGTGTTTCTACATATTCTCTTAATTTCAGATGTTTAAAAATCCTTATAATAGCCAAATTTTTAAAACCTTTTAAAAAATAATAATTCTATATTTTAAAGTTATTCTCTCCTTAAAATATTCACCAGTAGCAGATTTCATCCTAGTGCTACTGTAACTAAATCGTAAATGCAGTCTGAACATAATGGACTGTCTCATCTTCAGGCTTCTCTCATGTGTACATTCAACTACATAATGATCTGTCAGATATATGCAATTGCATATATGAGCTATGTACTGGCACATTTTCAAGTGGTCTTATCTTTAAGTCTTCTTTCAATAATTTCTTAAAATTAATTTGAGATTAAAAGTAAGAGGCTGTTTGATTGCTCAAATTGTGGCAGTAATGTCTGCTAGTGTTCATCTGTTGCTTTAAATTTCAGGAGATAACTAACATATAATCTCCAGAAAAATCGGGCTTTATTTTTAATTTTACTAAAACCACTGGGACTAATGCAGGCCACTGGCCTTTTCCAAATTAATTCTTGCCTGAACAGTGGAATTCATTCCCTCTTGGATGAAAGTATCTCCTTTAGAAAAGCATGCCATGTCGACTCAGGAAGGGAATGTTTCCTGAATTAATTCAGACTTATCTTACGCAGATCGTCAGGTTAGAGGATCTAGCACCTGTGAACGACTCCACTATTAGATATTTTTTTTTTCCGTTACAAGGTCCTCAGATATTGCATTCTTTTACAATGACTGGGAGTTTTATTAAGTTAAACGACTCATGTAAATGGAAATACTTGGGTGAAGAGGAATATTTGTCAAGGGCACAATCCAGCAGCAATCAATGTGTAGTTAAGAGTGCATCTTCAGTGCCTTTGGATTTTTCTCCTTCTAATTCACAGGGCCAGAAGTTAAAACTTTTTAGTGCTCTTGTATCTAAATGTAACTTTTCCCATCTCTTACTCAGTTTGACAGTCCTTTTAGAAGATTGTTTCTTGGGATAGGAGATGATGAGCAACAATTCCATGAAGAAGAAATAATCTTTTGGCATGTAAAGTAAAAGATGGTCAGAAGATAACTGAAGTTGAATTCCTAGGGAAAAACATTAGCCAGAGGTACAAAATTGGATTAGAGAGTAATTCAGTTTGAAAGCAGAGTAGTAATACTGTGCCCTCTTATTTGGCGAAGCACAGTGCACTGTATAAAAAGATAATTTTGATTCATCTTGCAGAAATTTAGTTCACAGATATGAAAGTGATACATGGATCAAGATTTTTCTAATTAAAGAAATGAATTAATTAAAACTAATACGTTAATCTCTCAAGGAAGGATAAGCCCCACTTGGTTCTCACTAATGGTAATAGAAATCATGTGGTTGACTTAGAGTGATTAAGAAACTTACACTTCAGACTATGTGATACAGAGCCAAGAGCAGTGAGGGTAATTGTGCTTTTGGTGATTTGCCTTAGTGGGGCTTTTTAAATTTTTCCTTTTTGTTCTGTCTAGATGTTTAATAAAATTAAACTATAAATATTAGTGTTTTGATTGGTTTGTGCTGGCATAGGGAAGAGACAGACAAGTTGTGTGGTCCCCTGAATATTTGCTGAAATGAGTCACTTGTGTTTGTTTTCATATGTGCATGATAACATTAGTCCAGAATTAACATTAACTTGAGTCTAAAAAAGGGATTCAAAGTCTGTCAAATACTGAATATTTTTTAAAGTAATTGCAATTTAATTTTGATATCCATAAAGAGTTCATGAGTTTTGCTGAAAATTACTTTTTATATATATTCCTACTGCAAGAGTAAAATAGCTGTAATAGCAACTTAGTCTTTAAGTTTTATCGTCCTCTGAAGTAAGTGTTGCCATTTTGCTTATTTTGGATCAATATCTGATGGGTGAGGCCAACCTCTTGATTTTACTAAAGCTTACAGAAGGGAGGAATATTGGGGAGAGATGCACAATCTAAAATCAAGCTCACTTCTGTCTAGAAATAGAACGTATTTCTGTCACAGAGTTCTGAGTTTCCTTTTTTTGTTGTTTTTTTAGTAATAATGACAACATAATCTCTGTAGCCCTATGAATGTAATTACCAGCTTTAGAAAGTATTGGTCTATATTGCATAAAATCATGTTAAAAAATCCTGAAAAAATGAATTTCGGTGTTCTAAAGTTCCTTGGTTTTATTCACATTCATATTTCCTTTTCTTGGTTAAAATATTTCCATATTTGAGGCCTAATATGTGATCATAATGTACTGATAATATCCCCTAATGCTATGATTTCTCTGCAGGCTGCCTGTGACTTGCTGCGGAGGATAATACGCATCTTGTATCTCAGTAAGAGACTTCAAGGACAACTGCAAGGAGGAAGCAGAGAGATAACAAAAGCTGCCCAGAGTCTCAATGAACTTGGTGAGTCCTTCTTAGTTACTTTTAGAGGCATTTTTAGATTGCACTCATATGACTCACACTAGTGTTTGACTTAAAAAACAAAGAAACCCCCAAAACATTTTACTATGGTTCTTGCTGTCTGCTTCCTGATTTGGATTGAGAAATGGTATGGACAGGACTCATTAGTACTTTCGATTTTTTCATATTACTTCTCTAGATAAAGGTATTTAATAATATGAAAATTCTGTGGTAGTCACTTGTGTTCTTTTGGGCAACAATTTTTTTGTGAAGCAGTTCATTTCTTATTGGTTTGTGTTTGTATAAAAAGCCTTCAGAGGCAACAGATATATATTTAGCTTTTGGAAGATATAGCACTACAATAAGGCATAGTTTGGATTGCAGTTTGCATCCTAAAATAAAATTATTGGCCCTGTGACCTTTGTGAAAGCCATATGTGATACGATATATGGATACTTAACCTAGTTCAGATACTGGAAGCGTTCTGCTGCAGTCAGTAGCAACAAATTTATCCTGTATTTTATTGTCTTCTAGGAAGAATGATGAAATAGTTCTCATGAAGCTCATGTTACATTGCTAGATTGTTTTCTGTTCTTGAGCTAGCTTGGGTGCTTCCACACTGTGCTGCAGGATGCAGTGAGGAGCATCCCATTAGTCTTGGAAATGAGTCGTTGGTGTTGTATATGGTATCTTGCCAGCTGTTTCTCCTTTCATTTAATGGTATTCAGATTTCAGCTTCCAAAAATAGGTTGTGGGAGGGCTGAACTATAAACCATTCAGAATCATCCTGAGGTTTATTGTGCATATTTGTCACTACTGGTCTTTTTATACTGTGTAATCAAAAAATTATTAGACAGTGATTTAGTCTTATAATTAGCAGATGCTGCGTTGCAAACATAAAGTTTATATATTTATTTAGTATGTCAGTATATATTAGTATATCAGTTTGACTGAAGCACTTACACATCAATTGTAGCATATTAAGCTAGAGTATTTTTTCGAATTTGTGTTTCTTCTAGTTTTTAATTTTCTTTCCATTTTAGTCTCCCTTCACAACTTCAGGATATATTAAAATAATACTGTCTTTCAACTACCTGAATTACAAGTCTTGTGGGATTAATCTGAAGGCTAGATCCTATTCAAATAATTAGTACAATTTAATGGTAAAATCTGAGATCTTTATCTTGTTTAATTTTTAGGATTTTTTTCTTTTAAAGAAAATGCCTTTTATTACTCTCCTTCCTCTCTTTTTTTTTTCTTTCATAATTTAAAAGAAGGACTTGCACTGCTTTTGTTAAAGTGTCACAGTCTTTTGAGTTTCTTGTTTTCAAATACTTTGTCTTTTCCTGAAGCTTAGAAGAGTCTGAGTAATTATTATTGTTAAAGGTAAAGGGAAACATGCCCCCTTAGGAAGCCCTTTTGAATTACAGTCTGTAGGGCAGAGCCAAGGCTTGTAGTCCTTAATTTAATCCTTAATTAGTCCTTAATTCTGGGTGGTTGATGGCCAGGTATATCCCTTGCCTACTGTCATTTCTCCCTCCCTCTCTTGTCCTGGTATCTCTTCCTTTTTTTGTTCTTACCTCTATTTGCATCCCTCCCTTATCTTTTGGCTCTCTGTTCTTTGTTACCCTCTGCTGCCCACCTTTGCTGGTCTGAATTCTTATTGCCTCCCAGCTGCCCATGAAGCCCGACACCCGGGTGGATGGGAACACCCGGCTGAGGAGTGGCTGGTGTGGTGGGCTGGAGGTGGCTGTCCTCTCTGGTGAGGTGGTGGCTTCCTGGGTGTGGGGTGGCTCTGTTCCGAGGGGAGGAAAGCGCGCAGTGGCTGGAGTCAGCACGGTTCAGGGTACAGCAGTGGGAGGCAGCAGGAAGGTGGTATGTTGCGGGGAGGCTGGATTTTGGAGTACTGGTTGGGGAAGCACTTTGGTGTGCTTCTGGCCTTGGAAAGCGTTGGGATGTGTGGGAGATCTGTAGGGGGGTGGTGGTGGCATGAGGCTGGGGTGCGGCTTCAGGAAGGTGCGAAATGTGATGTAGTGCTCTGTGGCGTTGGGAGGGTGGGAAGCACAGGGAACAGACACAGGGCACTGGTTAATTGGTGGTGAGATATGAAAGCTTTGGGAGGGCTTGGAAAGTATGACGACATCTGATGGTAGTAAATAGGTGGTAAACATGAGTGGTGTGAATGCCTAGTATTGGATGGGGAGCTCTGCGTCATGGAGGCTTGCTTTTGAATTGGGGATCATGGCCAAGATTAATATTAGTTTGTGTTTTTCACTGGATATTTCTGAATATCCCTTTTGGCTCTTATTCAGGGCAAAATTCTTCCTGTTGTTTGTTAACTTACTATTGTACGTGTGGTGCAATATAATTTCTGCTTTGTTGAAGTCAGCAGGATTGTGGTATTACCATGAAAGCTTTTCACTGTCTACGGTGTAATATGCCTTTTATTGCTCATAGGTTATTCTTTGTAGAATCTTGGAATAACTGGCCATTCATTTTTACGTACTGTCGTACTGTGTATGTATGTTTGGGGGACACAAACGTGTGTGTGCCCATTTAGGTATATGTATTCAACATGTATTTCCTCAGCAAATCTATGTTAGTTAACTTACAGCTTGTACTTAGTCCTGTCTTTGAGTTTATTTTGCAGTGATGGGAAAAGATATGGTAAAAATGTAAAATTTGGAATTAGGTATAAATATGGGTCAGTTAGAGGAACTACAAGACACAGCTTTTACTGAGACAGGTTTTTTATTGGGCACTTCATAAGTTGCTAGTAGTCTGCAGATCTCTACCTTCAGTGGATGATGTTGAGAACTTTACTCTGAAAGCATTTGGTAATATTTTCACTGAAATCTCTACTTAAAGCTAAAGTAGACCTAAAATTCCTCTGTGTTGGACTTTTCACATTCTTTGAAATTAACTTCCCACTTTGGCACAGTAAGAAGAAAAAATTAATTCCCTATGTAATTCTTAGAGATTAAATGTGATTAGTATGTAAGTGTGTGTGTATGTAGTGTGTATTATATATATACTTATAAACCCCCAAACTTTCTCCTGCAACTTTTCTGCCTCCCAACACACTTCTTTGGGTTCTCTGGCAAAGCAGAAAAAGAACTGTGATAGTCCATTGAATAAGCTATTAGTTGCTTCTCTAGTGATGGTTCTTCATATTACACAGTCCAAGTCAGCGTATGGATAGGTGAAACAAGTGGCATATTCAGATGTCACATGGTGTCTAATGCAGTGAATTACATGCCCTGACTATAGTTCTTGGTGATATTTTAATGCAAATATTTTATAAAGTGAAAAAGAAACATTCCTAAGCAAGTTTAAACAGCAGAATGTGACAAGAAAATCGTGCACTATATACAGTTCCCTTTCACAGAAGAAATTCTGCAGGTATTAAAAAATCTGCTGTCTTCTATGTGGGTATGCATAAATTATTGTCTGTAATGGTGGCCAGTAACTGATCAGACGAAGATGAAAAATTCTTAGTTGTGCAGAGAATGGCTAGCTTCACTGTGGACAGGTTATTAATTCCGTCTATCTGTTAATTCCATCTGTCAGTTACAGAGCTAGCTCTTGACAACAAAGGATTTATATATTTTGCTTGTTAAATACCTATAACTGATGCCATCATTATTCACATAAATGCCAAAACTTCTTTTAGTTATAATAAATTCCTAGTCTCTATATATGGTTGTATTATAATTTATTTCACAGCAAGTGAATTTATTTGCTTGAATGACCTTGTGAGCATATAATACTGGTAAGCAGGCTCTCACAGCAGCCATAATTTTGCTCTTTTGTAAATTCAGAGTTAGTCTGTGACTAAGCTGTGCAGCCATAAAATGAAGGGGGAGGGGTCTACTGAAATACAGTTTTGGGCGTCTTCAATATAGAAGTTGCTCCAGGACAATACTGCCTTGCATGTAAGTTATGAGAAGAGAGAATGGGGGAAGATAGTACTATGACCTTACTTTAAATCATTCTAGAGAAAAGGCAGAATATTGTCAGTTATGGAAGTCCAGATAAAATGGAGGAAACCCTACATATGCGTTGTGTTCTTTGTAAAGAAGGATCAAAGATTGCACATGGCACTTATTTAGGCTTAACATGACAACAGAAGACTTAAGGGGGATTCAAAGAAATAAGCTCAGTTTTGGTGCGTCTTGTAAAGAAGTGTAGCTTGGATGGAGAAAACAGAAATTAGTTAGGATATGCATGATACTGGCTGAAATATAATTTGAAATAAGTTATTTGGCTATGCCTGGAAGGCCTCTTCATAGGTGGCGTAATATAGGTGGTGGTAGCCCTGTCTTCTAAAGTGGACTCCAGAACTAGTGATACTTGCACAAAGGTGACAGTGGTCTTGGGCCTGAAAAATTCTCTTGTGGTGGTGAGAAAAAAAATGGACTTGGCACCTTTCAAGTGTAAACAAGATGCGTCGTGACATCATTTAGACAAGAAAAATCCTGGATATAGCCGATATGTCTCTTAGAATCAAAATTAGAGGAAATGGGAGGAGGAAAATGACCTCTTATCAGCCTGCTTTAATGGGGATTGCATTGGTGGGACCGTGTCTCGTCCAGTATTGAGGTTTCTCTGTTTCAGTGTGCTTTTCTAGTATTCCTACTACATGTAGTACCATGGAGTTGCCACCAAAAGGGAACCCCGTTGTAAAGACTCTGAACTTTTCTATAACATTACAGCTTGTCACCCAGTTTGTGTCATACAGTAATACAAAATAATGCTTGGTAGAGGGAGAGAAATTTCTTTGTGAAAATACACTGTTTCTTTTTACATTTTGTTCTTGTTATGTGTTATAGTAATGTCACATGGTCTGTGTTTTCCTCATCTCTGAAAATGCTTATGACATTAAACAGAGCAGAATCTTTCCAAATATTTTAAACCTAAGAAGTCTACTTTTTTTTGTCTTTTTCTCTGTGGCTGTTAAAACATGGAGCTGTTCCCTAGAAAGGAGAGTGTGTTCCTTTGTGTACCTATGTAGGTATATGTATATATATAAATATTTGTAAATACAAATATAAACAATTCATATATTCATCTTAATGTATCTCAGCTGCTTTTCAGAGTAGTCTCATTGTTCTTAGTGGTTATCTTTGGAACCTCCTGGGGGAAGAGAGGTGAGATGCCAGAAGACTGGGGAGCTTGCTTTATTGAAAATAGAACTCATTGGCTACTGTTTTATTTAGACAACTAAAACTAACTTGACTGCCTTAAGCAAAGAAACAGTAGAACAAGTAAACTGTTTGTAAGAGTCTAGAATATAAAAGTGTTATTAAATAGTAGGCCACATAGATTTGTCAAGAATGAATCCTGTTTAACCAACCGTGTTTTCTTTGTTGGCAGCATAACAGGTTTTAGGACTAGAGAGATTAATGACTGTCTTGTAGTTTGATTTAAATAGGGCTCTTGACACCATGTCACACAAGCAGGAGCGGCAATATAATCCAGATGAAATGTGCAATGAATGCATAAGTTTTGAGAAAGCTGTACCCCAAAAGTCATAATCAGTTGTTCACTGTTACCCAGCAATATATCAAGTGAGGTTTTGTTGAAATGTGTTCTGCAGCTGGCTAGTGTTTTCATTAATAATTTGAGTGATGTAATATGGTATATCCTTATTAAATTTACAGGTAATAATCAAGCAGAGAAGAATGGAAAGTATACTGGAAAACAGGATTAGAATGAAGAATATTCTCAGCATATTGGAGATATGTCTTAGCTGAACTGATTTAATTTCTCTTCTAGAGAAGTGCAAAATGCTAGCAATAAATAGTTGTAGTTAGCAGTGGGAATAGGAGAAATGAGACTGTATAGATAACAGATCTGCAGAGTGGCTTGACAGTTTCTCACAAACTGCGTGCAAGGCACTTGTACGTTTACTTTGTAGCAGCATGACATTGTTGGCAATGAAATTTGTGCTGATCTTTATAAGGAAGGGTGTTGTGTGCAAGGCACTTGAAACAAATCTTTTGTTCATGCCTCAGCTGGACTATCAAGTCCCTTTTGAGGCACCTCGTTTGAGGAAGATGTAGGTTAATTGGAAAAAGTCCTGAGTACAGCAATAGTGATGGTGGAAGGTCTCAAGAATGGGCAGTGGGCAGAAGACCTGAAAGTGTGTGGCTCTTTGCTTTGGAGAAGAGGGGTCTGAGAGGCAGAGTAACATTCTTCAGATAAATAAAAGTTGTTCAGATGGGAAGGGAGTAAACAGCTCTCCATACCCACTGTGATCGGAACAGTAAGTAATGGGCCTGAAATGAAGCAAAGAAAATTTTAATCTAATATGTTAGGAAAGGTTTCTGCCAGTGATGATAATTTCAGGGGAACTGTGAAGTCAGTATTTGAAGCTTTTTTTAAAGCAGGTTAGACAGAGCATGTATCAGGAATAGTTTAGATACAGGTAGTTTTGCCTAGAAGCTGGAGGACTGAGTACACTGACTTGCCAGCAGTCCTTTGATTCTCTAAGGCTCCCCCCCCCCCCCCCCCCCCT